CACACACACACACACACACACACACACACACACACACACACACACACCCATTTCAAACTTAAGTGCCTAACTTCAAGCACCTACATTTTCAGAAGTGCTCCCAAGACCTCCCTTTGAACTACAGTTGCTCGCTACCTTTGGAATTTCAGGCTACTTATTTATGGGTTTAGGTGCTTAACTTGGGGCACCTAAGTTTGAAAATTTTAGCCACTGTGATCAGGGGTAGACAAAACTAGGGATCCATGTGTCACATTAGAAAGGTGCAGGCAGTTTTACATAAAATAAGTTTCATAGACATCAATCTCCTACAAAGATCGGCAGTAGGAATAAGCCACTTGTTTCCTGTGCAGACATGGAAACCTCCCCTAAGTTTTGAACTTTGAAGAAACCCAGTGGCCTACGAGGGAAACCCAGTGGCCTTAGAAATTCCAGAGCTCAATGGGTAAAGTTGAACTGTTTACAAAAACATGATACCATAGAAATCTGTTTTGCATTGTCAAATACACCAGTTTATTCTGTAGCATTTGATTCAGGCCCCAAACAAACTATGCAGACCTAAGGATTCAAAGACTCTGCAATATTTTTTTTCCTTTGCACTTCGCAGCCATACAAGCAGCTTGCACCATTTGTCAGGCTTGTCCTCACTCCAGTCCCCCGGAGGCTATAGCATTAAGAGAAAGCATGATTCAGAAGTGTTCCAGGGAAGCGACAGGGAGCAGAACCTGGAAGATGACAGCTGGGGGGGATAGGGAGTGGGGGGAGGGGAGGAGAGGTACTTCAAAAGGCTCCCACTGCCTTGAATGGATCAAAAGCATAAGGAGGGTCCCAAGTCAGGGCCTGAACCAGCTCACCTTTCTATTTACCACTGAACACATTGTTCAGCTAACTCAGCTGCGGACAACTCCCTGCTCCACGATAAGGATCTGTCTATTCAGTAGTATAAAGGCAGCAGATGGTGTGGCAGCGACTGTGGAGCTGGTATTAAAATGCATAGTACAGTACACTTAGAATGTCATGAAGTTAAAACTTAGCAACATACAAATCTGAAGCCTGGAAATTGTATTTCTGTTAAGCTAGCCTAGGCACTTCCATTTGTTCTATTCTTTTTTCTTTTCTTTTTTGCTTAAGGGAAAATATCAGCATGTAAAGTGACCAGCCTGGAGAGATCAAGAACAATAAACTACGTACTTTTCATCTGAGCACTTCCAATCACTTTACAAACAGCACAAGCTCCTGGGAGGTAGGTTAGTATTGTTATGCGCCGGGGTAAGCTAGGCACAGAGAGGCGAAGTGTGTTGCCCAAGATCAAAAAGCTGAGACTGAAACAGAATTCAGGAGTTCGAACTTCAAACTCCTCACTCTAACTACGCAGCAACTGCTCCCCATCAATTCATACATCTATCCATTAGGGATGTGTACAGTGCCAACAATGGATACCAGATAGCTTGAATATTTGCATGGGATTTGGATACCAAAAATGTTCAGCCGCATCAACTCCATCTTCACAGCCCCTTCTCCCTTTTCTTCCTCCAACCTGACACCTTTGGCTTCCCCTCATCTGCCTCCCTGGACTGCCCACACACACCATTACCTTCTAGTACAGTACCACACGTGCAGAATCAAATCTTGTGCTTCAGCAAAGCCACCTAACTGTGCACAAACTGGGTAACTGAAATCAGCAGAAACTGGCCAAATCTGTATGTCCCCTGCTACATAACTGCAGTGTCTTACAGATACTTTCATTAAAAAGAAAACCTCTCATGTACAGTATTAATATTTTGCATTTGGATTGCCCCTTTCACTTGAGGACCTCAAAGCATTTTACACAGCCTCAGAACAGCTTGGCAAGCAAAGTTAAATGCTATTCTTGTTTTACACACGAGGAAACTGAAGCACAGCAAGACAAAAATCAAAAAATGTGTGTGTATGGGGGGGGGGGGTAATTACACCGACAAATAATTGTCTGTGCAGTCAATTGCATTTAGATTTATCTAGCTATCTGAGTTATACGTGGGTGCAAAACTGGCCTCTGGCTTTAAAAATCTCTCCCTAAGTTGACTTGTCCTAGGTCACAAAGTGAGTCAATGGCAGAGCTGGAAATGAAAGCCACGACTTCTGACTCTCTAACCTACACAATCCAGCGAACTACCCCGACACAGGCAAACAGCACACTTTGAAGAAACAGTGAAATACACCCTGGTTCCGCCATTATTAACAATAATAATCCCATAATGTATAACAGGAGGGCCAGTTACATTTTTGCATGACACACACAAGATTTTACATTTTCCTTTGGTTAGCAGTGTGGTGATCTGTTGGATTGTCTTACATTCACTTGCACAAGCTCAAGAGCAAAGGCAAACATGGGTTCCCTCACTGCTTATGAGATGAAATATCCCTTTTGCTGCTTTTCATAACAATAGTGCAAGCTTCCTCTGTGCCACTCCAGCAACTTAAAGCGAGGGGAGATTTCCTGTGATCCCCCAGTTGGGGATTTCCCTAGTGGGGGAAACCTTGGCAGTTGGAGAGCTGGTGTAGCTAGCTCCCATACTTCTCTCTTGGCAATCCCTAGTCCAGAGGGCATGCCAAGGTGGGAAGGAGGACTAGCCAGAGTGTGATAGGCTCTATCTCCAGAAAGCTGGCAAACCATTGGGAACTGTTGTCATCTTGTGCAAGTTAGAGCAGCCCCTCGGAACTAGAGAGCTGTAACTGACTCCCTTGCAGACCACTCCACTCTGCTGTGCTCAGTACAATGCAGAATCTGTCCCTGCGTATTTTAAGAATGCCAGTGACCAGAAGGCAGAGTCCTGAAATGTACTGGATAAGTTTAAAATATTGAAAGTGCATCCATTAGACAAATCTGCAGGCAAAGCCTTTAGGTTCCTGTATGTTTGTCAGGCTTAACACTAGGCTTTCTATTCCATTGTGAAGTAACGTCCAACTGTCTCATTTATATTTTAAAATCTCTACACCAGAATTAGGAAGGGGAGAAAAAAATATTTAGTTCCAGATCCCAGCCAAGATTGGGATGGTCTATACAATTTCTCAAACACCACGCACCCTTCAATGAACTCCAAAATCCCATTCTTCCTGACACTGCCCAGATTGTTGCCAAGTGAATGGGAGCAGATGTTTAAAGGGGGGGGATCTTTTATAATGATTAATGCACTCTAATTACATCATTGTTCAGGGATTTCATTAGCCATTGCCTGATTGATGATTTTTCTATTGTTTTTCCTCTGCTCGCTTTTGTAATACCAAAGTCATATCCCACTTCCCAGTATTTGCTCTTTATCACTTTTTTTTCAAATGTTTCAACTCCTATTTTTCTTCAAATTGTATATTTTGGCATGTGCAAAAAGTTACTGCATGTAAAATGTGTATGTGTGTGTGCAAGTTTATGCTTTTGAGTACTATTACCTCTCTCACACACAGTTACCAGTGTGTGCAAGTGTATCTTGCTAAAACAACATCTACATTTTGAAAATTTTATGCCAACAATCTAAAGAAAATCTTCAGTAAAACAGGGGAGCCTGGATGAACTTGGGCTCAACAAAATGACATCTGAGAGTGCAATCTGTGAAATGACGGGTTTTATTTATTTATTTAATACTGCAGACAACAGTTTCTGGGTTGAATAACATACAGGAGAATCAGCAGTAATGGTTGCTGGATCTGTGCTTTGATTAAAACCAGCAATGGTAGCATGTTGGGCTGAGAGACATCTGGAAGAGCTTTTGGTTTTTATAATCTTTAAAAAAAGAACCATGTGTGAATTTGGTGCTCAGCTTTTCCATTAGAATCCCCTTCTCAAAAAGCAATATTTTGCCCTGAAAGTCGGCCCACAGTATCTCGGCCAAGAAGCAGAAACTTTTCTTTTACTAATGTTTAGAAAAAAAACTTTTCGGTCATTTTGAAGTTAGAGAAGCCAAATTAAACGTTTTAAGGTTTCAGATTCTTGGCTGAGGTGCCAGGGTAACTTACAAATTACATTTTCTTTTACAATGATGTTTGAAGGCTGCAAATCCAGGCCCCAATTCAAGGCATTCAAAAACGTGCCTAAGATTAAGTAAGTGAGTAATCCTATCTCTATTCAGCAAAGCACTTAAACCCGTGCTTAAGTGCTTTGCTGAATTGGGGCCACAGCGTGCAGACCGAGCCAGACAAGCACTCTACTACTATGGTACTGAG